AGCCGTTTTAGGGGGGCGTGGCAGAGTCTTAACTTTGATAAAGAATATCTCTTTGGTTTTGAGACTTTAGTTCAACTTCAGGGATCTTATCTATGCACAATCAGCTTGTATCACTCCAAAGAGAAAGGAAAACTTGAAATCGCATCATATGACCCCTTTAATGCGCGAGTTGGCATAATTTGGGCTCGTGACGGAGCGGTAGCGGAGCGTTCTAGGAGCTCCAGGCAAAGCTCCAGGCAAAATCACGTCGCTCCACTCCTCGCTCCGCTCACATACTCTGGTTCCGAAGATGAACGAAGGTCTTACGGGTTTGAAACAACATAAGGGTGAGCAATTAATGACAGAATTTTCATTTTTGGGTGAACTAACCCTTTAACATCTATATTAAGCTTCTGCGCTGCTTTCAATCTGCTTAAGCATCCAGCGTGAAATGGGCATCAAGAAGAAAAAATTATGTATTTATAAACTAAGTGTATGTGCATGTGTATATGTAGCAAGAAGTTAGAGTGCTGTTACTCAAATATACCTGTAATTCCTAAGTGTTGTGCACTTAAAAAGTTGGAACATTCATTGATCTGTATGTAATAAAATTATAAAACACAAAAACAGCTTACTCCATGGCTGACAAGTCCATGTCAACTTCCTCTCCATTCATCAGAGGGACTTTCTTCTTCTTGTTCCTGGCAGAGAGAGAATAAATAAGGATACAAACAAACAAATAAATTTTTTTTAAAAATACCGAATTCATGCCAAGTGCTGGATGACAATTTTAAATGCAACACTTAACAGGAAGCACTGATTAGACTCAGGCATGAATTTTGTTCTGAAAGCAAGTGTCCTACCTTCTGCTTTTGGAGTGGCACGGAATGTCATGTTTGAGACTGTTCTCCTCTATCTGTAATGTGTGGTTAAATGACCCATCCAGTTCTTGCACGGTCACTTTAATAGGGCCCTGACAAAAAACAAAAGCAAGTGTAAGCTTTCAATATGCACATAATCATTGTCAGACCGCTTTCACTACGCATATGACACTTTTTCTTTTATTCATCCAAACATCCTCTCACACAATTTTCCATCTGATTTTCTCACTGCAGTCACTCACCACATATTTCTGTGTGCCAGATGATGTGTAGTCCTGACGGATCTCTAGTTCCAAAACATTTCTTTTCCTGTTGAAGGCAAAACTTCCCAAAATTTTTACCACCCCACTCTGGTCTCTGAGGTTGAGTCAAAGGTAATAATGTATTAAACAACTGCAATATGCTTGATCTTAAACTTCCTATGTTTCCTAAACGCAACATAACATTTTGGTTAAACTTTAGTTTATTCTCACTATGAACTAGTTGCTCAATAGCATGCATATTACTATCACATTGGCTGTTTATTAGTATTTATAAAGCACATATTAAAGGGGTAGTTCACTAATTAGCATCCTAATTAATGCTGTTCAGTTGGTTTGACACAATCTGTATAGGATACAAACAAACAAATAAATTTTTTTTAAAAATACCGAATTCATGCCAAGTGCTGGATGACAATTTTAAATGCAACACTTAACAGGAAGCACTGATTAGACTCAGGCATGAATTTTGTTCTGAAAGCAAGTGTCCTACCTTCTGCTTTTGGAGTGGCACGGAATGTCATGTTTGAGACTGTTCTCCTCTATCTGTAATGTGTGGTTAAATGACCCATCCAGTTCTTGCACGGTCACTTTAATAGGGCCCTGACAAAAAACAAAAGCAAGTGTAAGCTTTCAATATGCACATAATCATTGTCAGACCGCTTTCACTACGCATATGACACTTTTTCTTTTATTCATCCAAACATCCTCTCACACAATTTTCCATCTGATTTTCTCACTGCAGTCACTCACCACATATTTCTGTGTGCCAGATGATGTGTAGTCCTGACGGATCTCTAGTTCCAAAACATTTCTTTTCCTGTTGAAGGCAAAACTTCCCAAAATTTTTACCACCCCACTCTGGTCTCTGAGGTTGAGTCAAAGGTAATAATGTATTAAACAACTGCAATATGCTTGATCTTAAACTTCCTATGTTTCCTAAACGCAACATAACATTTTGGTTAAACTTTAGTTTATTCTCACTATGAACTAGTTGCTCAATAGCATGCATATTACTATCACATTGGCTGTTTATTAGTATTTATAAAGCACATATTAAAGGGGTAGTTCACTAATTAGCATCCTAATTAATGCTGTTCAGTTGGTTTGACACAATCTGTATTGTTAAAAGCGCTATATAAATAAAGGTGACTTGACTTGACTCAAAAATAAAAATTTGCTGTTAATTTATTCACCCTCAGACCATCCAAGATGCACGTGTTTTTTTTCTTGAGTAGAACAGGAAAGAAGTTTTTTTTTAGCTGAAACCGTAGTCCTTGGTGATTCATAAAGTCAGTGGCTGCCGCCTTGGAGAACAAAAAAAAAAAGAAAAAATAAGCATATCAAGGAACAAAATTAATACTCATGGCTCATGACGATATATTGAGACCGATCATTTTGCTTCATAAGACCTCAATATCTCATCAGGAGTCACAGGTTAGCAACAGCTCTCGTGAACACGCATTGGAGATTGAAGCGGAAGTGAAAAAAGTTGTGAAAATAGTAGTTACTTTTGTTATTTTGGCACACAAACAGCATTCAAGTCGTTTCAGAAAATTACAGTTGAACCACTGGAGTAACTGACTACTTACATGATGATTTTACTACCTTTTCTGGGCCTTCTAAGTGTTAGTTACTTAGGCTGTCAATGAAGGAACAGAAACCTCTCTGATTTCATTTAAAGGTGACAAGCTGTCATGTTTCATTAGATTATTTTTGAAATGTCTGTTAAGATTTTTTGGTTAAAATTCCTCAGCGGTTGTGAAAAAAACACCCTTTTTACCTAGTAAAAACCAGCTCCGTTCACAGCGACCCGTTTTGGTGCACGTTTCTTTAAATGCTAATGAGCTACTGCTTACCCCACCCATTCATTTTACTGACTCACAGAGCAAAGATAGCATAGTTTGTCTGTATGGATGTTAGTATATTAGTATAGCTTTTTATCTCTCCTCTTTCCACTTCTGTTTCAGGTTTTTATAAACTATTTCTTACTAT